GTTTTTTTTTTTTTTTTTTTTTTTGCTTCACTTGTTTTCGGAATTGCATGTGAAGATAAATCTGCGATGACCATTGATCATTGTCGTTTGCATATCGTTGTATTTTATCACAACACGCACTCATACACCAAACACTGGCAACCCTAGGACGAAGACGCAGACGAGTGAAGGCAGACACAAAACTCTTTTCATGCGTCTTAATGACTTCCATTTGTCTATATGAACTTATGTAAACACCATTTGATTGCGCTCACAGACTTCTTTTTTCACACGTCAGCATGCCATCCATGTAGCAGGGAGTGCGTAGGAGAGGAAGGAAAATAGTCGCCAACAACCAATAACACTTTTCCATCACAACCCAACAATCACCAAACTATTGCGAATTATAAAAACACACTGCCGACATGATTGCTCTCCGTAGAACGTCCCGAACGAGCCCCAAGAGATGCACACGACTGCCGCTCGCGACAGACAACAACTCCATCTCAATGCCGTCAACTAATCACATTAACTGGCCACCGCTGCCACTTCTGCCGCCCAACGACTCGCCCACACTAACAGGGAACGCCCCACTATCAACGCACCAGCCCGAAGCCGCGGATCGAAACACGAAAAGGAAAAACTTCCGATAAACTCAAAAACAGACAGCATATGGCGCGGGGACTACGAGGCATGATTGTCGCTCTCCGCTCTGCGTCCCTCACTGGTGACCGAAAATTGGACGGCATGGCACATGTACTGCGCCTGTCGTCTCTCCGCACACTGCTTCCTCCCACCGCCGCCGTCAAATGTTCCTCCTTGGCCCGCAGCTCCCGCCGCCTCCCTCTGCCGTCATCGCCACATCATTCGCTCCGCCAGCGCCTGCCGCAACATGATCGCCTCCCCAGTAGAAGTTTCCATGCACAACGGCCTGGGGGGGCGATGGATCCCGAGATCCACCCGACGCCGAACTCCATTGGCGTCAACCTCCCACAGCAAGTTCTCGTCGAAAGGGATGCCGACGTCGATCAGGATGTTGTGCAAGATGCAGACGGCCACGAACTGCTGGGGCAAGGTCTCCATGTTGGTCTTGTGCAAGCCTAGGAACAAGCGCCACATTCCTTTCAGTCTCCCGAACGCCCTCTCCACTGCCCCCCTCACGGTCTTCTGCTTGCTGTCGAAACGACTCTCCAGAGGATGCTGCGCCACGCCGCCAAATGGGACAACCATCCATTTGCTCGGCGGGTAACCATTGTCGGCCAACAGATAACCATTTGTCTGCACTTGGAACGGTAGCAGCACAGGAGGCCCTGTAAACAACCCTCCCACCACCGCCCGCGACCATAGAGTGGAGAGATGGATGATCCGGACGTCGTGGCAGCTCCCCGGATATCCCACAAACACGTCCAGGATGCGCAAGTCCAAGTCGACCACCACTTGAGCAACGACAGAGAAGCGTCTCTTGCGGTCATAGCAGTCTTCTGCAGGTGCATTTGCCAGCTTGTCCACGTAGATATGGGTGCAGTCGATGCACCCATGGCAGTTCGGGAAACCCTTGTCATCAAAAGCACGCAGAACGATCGCCTTCCGCACTCCAGTCGGCCATGCCACCTTCTCCCTGTACACCGAAAGCAGAGCAGCAGTAACGTCCCGGACGGCCACCAAACCTGAAGCCCTGCCAATCCCAAAGCTGCAGCTACTGCTCTCGTATGTCTCGCCCGACGGCCACCTGTACAGCGTGTAGGCGACGATCTGGTCTGGTTGCAACGGTTCCCTATAAAACGTCACACGTCGCTGGAGAATCGGCGACAAGTTCTCAACGATCTCGCGGAAGACACGTGGAGACATCCGTAACTTGTCGCGGAAGTAATCGCCAGTGGCGTCGTCCGCAGGCCGAAGATCCTTCCAAGTCCCCCCCGTCCTCCTTTTTACCCACCACCTCGCCGTCGCCCTCGGTAGTCCCCCACACCCCAGTGCACAGCACACCTCCAACACGGCTTCACAGATGGCAGCGCTATCCAACGTTTCAGTCGTCGCCGCCGGCATCAACTTCCTTCTCCGAGCACGTAGTCGTCCCCACCGCCGTTGACCTTCGACCTCCATGTCGCAATGCATGATGACGGCGGCTACGGCAGACGTCACGGCAGCCCTCTCCAGAGCGGACAATCCGGCCCCGACGTCGTGCCCATCACCCACTCCACGCACATGGACCACCTCAGACATCGCAGTCATCCTCGCGGAGTGAACTCGCCCAACACTCGACCGGACGCCCCCAGCAATGGACACTGCCCACGAGCAAGTTGGCGGAGATGGCGGTCGTGCCCCGGTGCGTGAAGACGAACGAGCAAGGCGGAACGCGACGCTCACAACAGTCGACGGAGGGCCACGGAAAGCCATCTCTTCAAATACGTGTGGAACATTGTGCTGACGCCACAACGGCTAGCAGCTCCCTCGCGTGACGCCCACTGCAAAACCCCTCAGAGTCCCCCATGGGGTTGCCCCAAGGTAACCGCATGTCCCCGCGGAACCACACCGCACGGCATGGTCGGCCGATTCGAAATTTGAATTTTGAAAGTGCACGCGCGCGCGCGGATTTTTTTCCTCATTGCGGCGGCGGCAGTCCCTTTTCGAATTCGAAGGCCGAACGTGGTGGACCAAGGCCGCTCGCACGGACACCGGACGATGGACCGCCGCCCAAACTCTCGTCCCGCGGCCGCGTATAAAATTATACGTCTCCCCGCGGCCAGTCCTCCGAGCATCCTCGGGCGTCGTCCCGAGGGAGCAGTGGAACGGAAGCGGGAAATTCCTCGGGCTGCCCCGAGGATTTCCCCTCGTAGCCCGAGGACGCGCCGAGGAGTGTCTAACGAGCCCCTTAGTGCAGCGGTGAACCCAAAATCACGAATTCGAAGAGCTTTTCAGCTCTGTGCCAATTCTCCAATTTTTCCGAGAGTGGAGAGTAGTGCAGCTAGACCCATTAGCTACTTCAGCAGTGGTGGAGCTGTCCCCAAACGGTGGCAAATTTCAGGATTTGTGAATCTGGGTCCTTGTGTGAGTAGGCCCTCTTTTTCTGTAGGAGGATAGGAGGCTCCGAACATTGGCAGGTGCCAGGAAAGTCAGGGCACACTCACACTAGCACTTTCTTCAATGTATCTGACTGCAACTACGACCATACCTGGATGAATGGGGACCCCAATCATGTCCAGAGATTAACCAAAAAAGTCCTGCTGTGAGTATCAGAGGAAAGAAAACAAAAAGTTCTAACTTTTGTTATTGGTTGCTTGGGCCTCTCTCCGCTACTCACCACATGCACCAAAAGTGAAAAATCAGTTGGTTATTCTTAGGCTTGGATCCCACTATTGTTAGTGAGGCAATTTTGGGTAAAATTTCGGATCCCACATTGCACCGGGGCTTTCGGGACCCAAAACAAATTTCGCCTGTTTCTACTCACTATGTGCATCGTGTCAACCAGGCGCGACACCCGCCGCAAAACAACACTTGTTTCCCACAAGCCGCCAGCCCCCTGCCCTGTTCCCTAAAAGTCGCGAGCACCAAAAAAACAAAGTTTTTTTCTTTTTTTTCGTTTACGGCAGCGCGATTGGGTCCGACGCGAATGGACCAACATATTTTGGCAGGATTTTTGCGAAAGCCCCTCGAAGGACGGGCCTGTGGAGTCCAAAAAAAAAATTACGTACCAAAAGGCAAGGACCCTCCTTTCGAGGGGCTTTTCTGATTCTTTTTTTTAAAAGCGCCATGTGGGATCCAAGCCTTAGGGTCGTATCCCACTTCTTGTTCGGCATGTAGTTTTAGTTAAAAACGGGATCCAACTACTTTCCCGACAGTTCGGCGGCAGCCCTGCATTGTCGGGGATGTGGAAACGTGAGTGGACGTCGCACGACGTACATGTAGTTCTTTTGAAAAACAGAAGAGGCCACCCCCGTCTTGTGAAGCGAAAAAGAAGGGGCCAGTTTTTGGTCTCTTTTTTTTGTTTTGTTTTGGTTGTCTGCATGGTTCACACAGGCTTTTGAGAACAACGGAAAAGGCCAACCCAATGCTGGAGGTCCACACTTGTGTATGCTGCCCACAAAAGTCGGTTATCCATTTGGTGAAAGAAGAGGCCTTCCCCGTGTGGGATCCCATTTTTTGTTTTCGAGATTTCCGGGCCTGTCGCCCCCAAAGCTGTTCTTTTTTTTTTTTCTTTTTTTTTCCGGAGAAACATCACACTTTTCATCCCAAATGAGGCCACAGGGCTCTGGGGTCTGGTCCCACCTTTGTTGTTGAGAAAACTCAATGCGGAGTTTTCTATGACGAGCGACAACGTTCGACAGGATGTGGCCGTCGACAGGGCTGCGATCCCACGGTTGGAAATATTTCGAAATGTTGATGTCCTACCCGTTGATTTGAATGATTTTTCCCGCAATGGAGAGAAGGCGGCATGGGCAAGCGCCACGGAGTTGAGAAAGCTACCCTCCACGGTCGAGGGTAGGTTTCTCAACATGGTCGATGAGAAATTTTGCGATTTTTGGGATTTTTAGTCACCGTCTACTGTTCCCCGTTTCTCGTATACTGTGTCAGGCACTTCGTCAGTGCAATGAAAGCCGTAACTGTCGTGCGTGGGCTCTATAAGGCCTCTCTCCGTTGCTCACCACATGCACAAACAAAAGAAAAAAGAAAGTCGATGTATGTTTCCGTGTTCTTGCCTATATTCATTGCTCTTTGGACCCACTTCCACGTCCTCGTGTTTCCACATCATCATGGGGCCTTGCTGCACTACTCTCGACATGCACAAAAGACAAAAATCATGGCAGTGCATCTTTCCATATTCTAGGGGAAGATTCACTCTCGTTTTGCACATTTCGAGAGTAGTGCAGCGAGGCCCATATGGTACTTCAAGATACGCAGAATCCTCGACAGAAACCACTATTTTCGCATCATTTTCTTAAAATGAATAAAAGCTGCTACGAATAAATCTGAAATGCATTTTTCGGATTTAAAAAATGCGGTAAATGGTGTCACACCGTTGAGGTTTCTCAACTCAACGGCCGTAGGTGGGACCAGACCCCTGGGAACACATCCCTACATATCAACCCGGTACAAACTTGCTAAGGCCGTTACTCAGCTTAGGCTCCTGGAA